AGGCGCTCCTCGGGGTCTTGCCGCCACGGTGCTGCTCTTCTCGGCGACGAGCCCGGGGGGAAGCGAGGGGGGGCAGGCCTTGTCAGAAGGCGGCAGGGATCCTTAGAAACCCTCGCGCCTTCTGGCAAGCCTAGCAAGCATTGTCCGAAGCCACGGGCGGCTTCTCGGCAGGCGCGAGGGCTTCTGAGAGGCCCCGCCGCCTTCTGAGAAGGCCCGCCCCCTCTGGCTTCCCCCTGGGCTCGCCGCCGATCAAGGTCTTGCCGTCACGATTTGCTATTGGTCGTCCTGACTGGTCCAAGCGGCGCAGCCTGGGCGCGGGAGAATTTGTAGATGGCTCCGCCGTTGCAAATGCCAGCGACCGTCCAGCTGGCTCCGCTGTTGTCGCCCCATGGCCACGGAGGCGACTACGCCTAGGCCTCCGCACTCGCTGCCTTGTTCCTTTCCAGTCACATCTGCGCGATGCAGGATCGTAGGTCGCCCGCGGGGGTGCGAAAATGACCGTGCGTCGCGCATCGCTGGGCGCGGTTCGCGAAGTAGGTGACCTGTAGAATTTGAGCGACACCTGAAGTTGTGACGCTGGGCGGCTCTGAATTCTAGGCCTCCCAGATGGGGTCGGAGTAGATGGGGTCGGAGGATCGCACCGCATCGCCGATGCATCGGCGATGCGGCTCGATGTGGGGTTCAAGTTTCTCCATGCCGACGTCGCCGATGCATCGCCGACGTCGCCAGTGCATGGCCGATGCATCGCCGATGCATGGCCGATGTATTGCCGATGCATCGGCGATGCGGCGAGACCCTCCGACCCCATCTACTCTGACCCCATCTAGGGGGCCTCTACGAATGCAACTGGGAAGGTCCGGGTGTCGTCAACGGGCCGGGGCTCAAGCTCTGTCAGCAGGCGACGCCCAAAAGCTCGTAGGGGTCGAGCAGCGGCCCTCGATGTGCTGGACGCTCGCCTGCCACCCTAGCGTCGGGGAGTTGTGGGCACCGCGACGGAGGAAGGACAGCCGCACCAGGAGTGGGAGGAGGAGAACGAGGAGGAGAACGAGGAGGAAAACGAGGAGGAGCTGAACGAGGAGGAGGAGGAGCAGGAGGAGGAGGACCAGGCTCCAGCGCTGGAGCCTGTGCTGCAGAGACGTGCTGTGCAGCTGTGCGCGATCGAGGTGGACTTGCGGCAGGTCGCGGGGAGACGTCCCCGCAGCGCCGATGGGTGAGGGCATGCGGGGCCGCTCGGATGCCGTGCCCGCGCGCTTGGTGAGCGTGCCGGCCCGCTGATGCAGCAGGCGGAAGCCCTCCGAGCGGATGTAGCTACTCTCGGCACGGAGATGGCCTCCTCCTCCTCCTCCTCCTCCTCCTCCTCCTCCTCCTCCTTCTGCTCCTCGGTCGCGAAGACAGCCAAGCTTCGGCAGGCGAAGAATGGTATAGAATGAGCTTCTCCGCCATCGGGGACAAGCGCTCCCGATGGCGGAGAAGCTTATGCTGTACGGGTTCTCCGCCTGTGAAAAGCTGGCCTTGTGACCTTGTGGATGGAGGAAGCGGCAGCGGCAGACGCCGTGCCCAGGAGAAGAGCAAGACTTGGCACTCTTTGCAGGCTGCGCAGAGGAGCTAGAGGAGAGACCGCAGCAGCACATCGCCGCTGCAGGCACAAGCACTGGCAACGCGCTGGAGGCCCGCTGCTCCACAGAGGCTGAGTGCATGCTGTGGCTGTCCAGATGGCGAGGCAGCTGAGCTGAGCCGACGCCGAGGCCGCCTGGCTGGTACATTCCGCCGGGGTTCATGTCGAGCTGCAGCCTAGGGGAGAAAAACGGCACACACACATTACCTTTCGCGGAGGGCGCCAGGGGCGGCGCCATGGGGGTCCAGCGCCGATCCATGAAGTCCGCGCGATGCTCCCAAAGCTTCTGTTTGGGCAGCCTTCTCTCCTCGGGTGCCGGATGTTATCAGGAACTTTGGCGCAGCGTGTGGCTCCGCTGGCTCTGGCCCACCACGCTTCGGCGCGACACGCCGTCCACGCCCCCCTTTCCAAGCGCCAGCGTCCCGAGCCTCTCCGAGCCTCCCGCCCCGCGGAGCGGAGCGGCACGCTGCTGCTGGAACGCGGGTCAAGAGCAGCCCCTGGCTTTGGAGGAGTGCCCTTCCGTTCCTCGTGGTTGGGCTCTCCCTCCACCCTGGGAGCCGTCGCCGTCTGGCGTCCCTCCAGCTGGAGCGCGGGTAGAGAACAGCCCCGAGCTCTGGAGGGCCGCCCTCTTCCGCTCTTTGTGGTTGAGCTCTCCCCACCCTGGGGAGCTGCCGTCGCTTGGCGTACCTCCATGCGGGGCCTCGGGCTCTTGGCGAAGGTGATGGGCCTGTTTTCCACCACCACCACCACCATAAGTTGGAGGGGGGAATGAGGTGGAGGAGGAGGAGGAGGAGGAGGATGATGATGATGATGATGATGATGATGATGATGATGATGATGATGATGATGATGATGATGATGATGATGATGATGATGATGATGATGATGATGATGATGATGATGATGATGATGATGATGATGATGATGATGATGATGATGATGATGATGATGATGATGAGGAGGAGGAGGAGGAGGAGGAGGAGGAGGAGGAGGAGGAGGAGGGCCCTCCCCCTCCTACTTCTGGTGGTGGCGGTGGAAAACAAGCCCACCAGAAGGGGGTGCCCTTCCGCTCGTCGTGGCTGGCTGGGCTCTCGCCACCCTGGGGAGCTGCTGTCGTCTGGCGCATCTCTCCACGGGTGGGGGCCTCGGGCGCTCGGCGAAGGGGCTCCGGCTCTCTTGCTGGAAGTTCTCGTGCCCACAGTTTTCGGGAGCCTGGTGTGCCCTCCTGATTCCGTCTTTAGCGTCGACTAGCGTGGACTAGCGTCTGGGTGTCGATGAGATAGCCCGATTTAGCGTCGATGTAGCGTCTAGTTAGCGTCGACTCGCGTCGATTTAGCGTCGATGAGCGTCGATTCGCAAGGGCCGACAAGAAGGTATGGGAGGCTCCCATGAGTTGCCACCGAACGCAGTTCCTCTGCATCTGCTTGCAGGGCACAGCGCGCCGCCGGGACCGCCGCGGAGCGACACGCTCAGCAACAGTGGCCCCGCCGCAGCAGGCACGGGCCGTCTACCTCCACGGCCGGGATGGCAGGACGGCCCCGTTCCAAGCGCCAGCGCCCCGGGCCTTCCCGCGCGGAGCGGAGCGGCACGCTCCAGCGGGAGCGCGGGTCAAGAACAGCCCCCAGCTTTAGAGGGGTGCCTCTGGCTTTAGAGGGGTGCCCCTAGCTGTAAAGGGGTGCCCTCCCGCCCCGCGGATCAGAGCGGCACGCCATCCGCCCGCGAGGCACGGCGCGTCGCCGGGATTTGCCGCGGAGCGCCGAGCTCCGCAGCAGGCCCCGGCCGCAGCAGGCGCGGACCCGGCCACCGCCGACCGAGCGGGAGCTGTCAGGGCGGCCGCGTCTGCGGCTGGCCAGAGGAGGAGGAGGAGGAGGAGGAGGAGGAGGAGGCGGAGGAGGAGGAGGAGGAGGAGGAGGAGGAGGAGGAGAAGGAAGCGGAGGAGGAGGCGGAGGAGGAGGAGGTGGCGGAGGAGGGAGGAGGAGGAGGAGGCGGAGGAGGAGGAGGAGGAGAGGAGGAGGGCGGAGGAGGAGGAGGTGGCGGAGAGGGCTCGGGGAGCGGCCCCCCGCTGCGGTGTGCAGGGCGGACGGGGCGAGCGGGCAGCGCTGGCTCCCTCGGCCTGTGTGCCCCGACTCCCGGCTCCCGCTCCTCGTCCTCCCGCTCCACCTGCCGATCTGTCGGCCCCGCTCCTTGCCCCCCGGCCCGTGCCCCCGCGGCTTGTGCGCGAGCTCCTGGCCCACGGTGCTGCCCTTCGAGCCCCGAAGAATCCTGGTCCTCGTGCCGCTTCTGGGTCCTGCTACAGCTCCTGAGCCACCCGTTCCCCGGCCGTGGAGGCTTCTAACAAGTAGGGGGCACGAGGAAATGGGAGGAGAATGGAAAGGAGGAGGATGCTGCTGATGATGCTGACGCTGGGGAGGAGGAGGAGGAGGAGGAGGAGGAGGAGGAGGAGGAGGAGGAGGAGGAGGAGGAGGAGGAGGAGGAGGATAACGAGGTAGAGCGTGAGACGGACGAGGAGGATGAGGAGGTGGAGGAGAGGAAGGGTAAGGATGAGGTTGAGGAGGAGGAGGAAGGAGCAGTAGTAGGAGAAGGAGGAGGACCAGTGTAAATCCAGGACGCATCGACGATGTTGCAATACCACGTTCCCTCTTCACAGGTCCCTACGATAATGTGCCTTCATTGCGGGAAGTGGCCAAGTGGAATACAACCGTCTGACGATCTCAAGTCTTGCCAGAACATCATTCCTGGGGGATTTCAACGCCGCGGATCAAGATGGCAGCTGCGTCTTTGCATTCCACAATCGTGCCAGAGCACCGCTCCTGGGATTTCAACACCGCGGATCAAGATGGCAGTTGCGTCCTCAAATTCCCCAAATCGTGACACATAGTGAGAACGACCCCTCTTCCACCGGTGGAAGTCCTGCAGTATTTTTTTGCCAGGGGAATATGCGCGGCGCTTCGGCGAGGGCCACGTTTTGAAGACCACCCGCCCTCCATCCTTGAAGGTTTCCCGATGATCCTGTGGTGCTGGGTCCTCGTCTTGAAGAGGCAGCGCCCCGCGTCAATCCTCTCCTCTTCTCTCCTCTCCTTCTCGCCCTCCTCCCTCCTCCCATCCCTGCCACTCTACCCTCCGCACTTCGGCACACCCATCACACGTTTTACAGTCCCACAGGAAGCTCCAACTAAGGCCCCAATGCCAGGGTTCGCATGGCGGCCCCGTCTCATTTCGGCACTCGCTTCCCACGTTTCGTGGACTATAGGGAGCCCCAGCTGAGGCCCACATGCCAGAGGAGAAGGAGGAAAGCGAGGAGAAGGAGGAAGAATAAAAGGAGGAGGAGGCAGGAGGGAACATCACCGAGGTTTAGGCGCATCCCTTCCTCCGGGCACCCGTGCAGGCGGCGACCGCGGCCGCGAAGGTGGAGGGGAACTTCAAGGATGGCCGTGCGCACGGGGGTCGGAGGAGGAGGAGGAGGATGATGAGGACGGTCGATGATGATGCTGCTGATGATGATGCTGATGATGCTGATGAAGATGCTGATGCTGATGATGATTATGGTGATGATGATGAGGATGATGACGATGATGATGCTGCTGATGCTGCTGCTGCTGATGATGACTATTATGATGATGACTCTGATGTTGTTGATGATGGTGATGTTGCTTCTGCTGATGTTGATGATGCTGATTCGGCTGATGATGATGTTGATGATGATGATGATGGTGATGATGCTGCTGCCGATGATGACGACGATGATGGTGATGATGATAGTGGTGGGTATACTGATTATGATGATGATGCTCCTGATGAAGATGATGCTGATGACTATGATGATGGTGATGATGATCATGCTGATCATGATGGTGACGATGCTGATGACGATGGTGATGGTGATGCTGCTGATGATGCTGCTGACGATTAGGATGATGGAAGAGAAAACTTTGCTGATGATGATGCTGCTGTTGATTATGATGATAATGTTCATGATGATGTTGATGATGATGAGGTTGTTGATGCTGCAGCTGATGATAATGATGATGACGATGATGGTGGTGGTGATGATGATAATGAGGAGGAGAAGGAGGAATAGGAGGAGGAGGAGGAGGAGGAGGAGGAGGAGGAGGTGGTGGTGATGGTCGTGGGGGCGGAGGAGGGTGATCATGATAATGATGACGACGAGAGACAGGATGATGAGGAGCAGGAGGAGGAGGAGGAGGAGGAGGACAAGGAGGAGGAGGACAAGGAGGAGGCGGAGGAGGAGGACGAGGGGGAGGAGACGAGGAGGAGGAGGGAGGAAGAGGAGAGGGAGGGAGGAGGAGGAGAAGGAGGAGGAGGAGTAGGAGGAGGAGGGAGGAGGAGGCGCGGACGTATCCAAGAAGCCGCGCCCAGACGGGGCATCGACAGAACGTGAGATACAGAAGACGTACCCGTGCGAGGACGCGGGTGGGTGAACGCCGAGCCAGTACACAGCGTCGGGACACACCCTTTGTCCTACCGGAGCGCGAGGGTGAGCTGCACCAGTCAGAGAGAGAGAGAGAGAGAGATAGAACGAGAGAGAGAGAGAGAAAGAGCGCGAGAGAGATCGAGACTCAGGGGAGGATGAAGGACCACGGCATTAGGCACAATGTTTGATAATGGCCTTCTGGCAGGTAGAGGGAGGAGGATGAGGAGGAGAAGGAGGAGGAGGAGGCGGAGGAGGAGATGGAGGATGATGATGATGATGATGATGATGATGATGATGATGATGATGATGATGATGATGATGATGATGATGATGATGATGATGATGATGAGGAGGAGGAGGAGGAGGAGGAGGAGAAGCAGGTGGGCTATGTGATGGTTTCGGTGTTGATTCTGACTGTGATGATGGTGATAGTAATGATGCTGAGGAGGAGTATCAAGAGAAGGAGGAGGAGGAGGAGGAGGAGGAAGAGGAGGAGAAGGACGAGCAGAAGGAGCGGAGAGGACGGAGGAGGCAGGAGGAGGCAGGGACAGGGGTGCAGGAGGAGGATGGCCAAAGCAAACCCTGGATGCGCCAATGATAGCACGAATGCGCCCTCCCGTCCCGCGTCCCACGTCGCTGCGAGCATGGCTTTCCGCTGCGGGCAAGCGCTCCGTGGAATGACCCGCGCCGGGTGGGCCTGCCTCGCGGGCGAGACGCCGTGTCGTCAGGGGACCCACCCGCAGCCCTTCTAGCCAAAGGAGACGCGAAGGGGTACTCCGAGTTCCTCAGTGAGCGTCGGGGGGGGCGTCACCCCCGTCGGGGGATACCTCCCCTGCTTGTTAAGAAACCCAGGGTAGAGTTCATGGAAGTGAGACTGCCTCTCATGCGAGACGCTGTGTCGTCAATGACCCACCCGCAACCCTTCTAGCCAAAGGAGACGCGAAGAGGTACTCCGAGTTTCTTAAAGAGCGTCTGGGGGGGCGTCACCCCCGTCGGGTGATACCCCCCCGACACTTGTTCAGAAACCCATGGTAGTGTTCGTGGAAGCGTCCAACGATAGCACCAGTGTCGAATCATGTTTTGCTATCCACCCGTGTAAGTGCTGCAACGTTTCTGTTGGTGTTTCAATCGGGGGGCCTTTTTGTTCGGTAAAAGGAGACGCCATCCATCAGTGCAGGTGTTGCGCGACTTTGAGTGTCGGGGTAAGAATTTCCAGGAAGGCTACAGAGAGAGCCCCATGTTGGAAAAGAGCAGCCCTCCATCCGTGTAGCTGTTGCGCAGTTTCGATTGTGGGACCATGCAATGTGATGCAGTCTCTGGCGATAGTTTTCTGTTGTAAACGAGCTTGCGTCCATCCTTGGAACTGTTGGGCGTTTCGCTTAACCAATGTGCGCGGCGCTAATGCGATCATCCCATTCGAAAGCGACTGGCAATGCATAGGTGTAACTATTTTTCTGAACAGATGTGCGCGGCGTTCAAGCGAGAGCCGCATTTTGGAAATCTCATGCCATCCATCTTTGTAGCATTCGGATGTGTAGATTGCGCTTGGCGCTGCAGCGAATGCCGCATATGGAGAACGGCCAGACCTCCATCCTTAGATGTGTGTGTGTGTGTGTGTTTGTGTGCGTGTGTGTGTGTGTGTTTGAGGTTCATTGTCGTTCTAATGGGTCGCAAGGGAGTCTTGAGCGCAATGCCCGCTTCGGCCTACGGACACGTCTGGTGGTCCGACGGGGGGGGAGTTGTTTTTTAAGAAAGGGGGGTGGAGAAGGACGAGGAGGAGGACCAGGGTAAGCCCAAAATGCGTCAATGATGCTGCGATGCGCCCTCCCGCCCCAAGTCCCATCCGCATACGTCTCTACACGTTCTAATGCGGAAAGCGTTCGCGTGGGCTTGCCAGTCAGGCCAGACTCCGCTTTGTAAAGGATCCGCCCGCCATCCTCCGAGTCATAAGGCACTTGCCATCCATCCGTGTAAGTGTGGCACTGTTTTCTACCTGTTGTACAATTCCCCGAGAAAATTCTGAAGCAAGAGCCCAAGTAGAATTACCCCAGTGCGACCCTACCTAGAAGTTGGAGCCCCTAGGAAAGCAGCATTAGTTGCTATGCTATGCTAATGCTATGCTATGCCATGCTATGCTATGCTATGCTATGCTATGCTGCGCTATGCTATGCTATGCTATGCTAAGTTGCGCTATGCTATGTTATGCTATGCTATGCTATGCTATGCTATGCTATGCTATGCTATGCTATGCTGCGCTATGCTATGCTATGCTATGATATGCTATGCCATGCTTGGCTATGTTATGCTATGCTATGCTATGGTGATGCAGCGCTGCGCTATGCTAAGCTAAGCTAAGCTAACCCTCTGGTATGCTATGCTATGCTCTGCTCTGCTCTGCTATGCTATGCTATGCTATGCTATGCTGCGCTGTGCTATGCTGTGCTGCGCTATACTATGCTATGCTATGCTGCGCTATGCTATGCTATGCTGGGCTATGCTATAATATGCTGTGCTGCGCTATGCTATGCTACGCTATGCTATGCTATGCTGTGCTCTGCTATGCTAAAGCTCGGCGAAGCTGATATGAATGTAAGCTAAGCTAAGCTACACCTGAGCTAAGATGAAGCTCAGCTAAGCCGAGATAAAATAGGCTAAGCTAAGATGAGATAAGCAACGCTAAGCTAAGGGGACGCAACCGGGGGAACCGCGGGGCGGATCCTGGGGGAACCGCCCGGGGCGGGTAGCCCTGCCCGGCCCTTTAAGACAGAGAGTAAGAACCTTTCTAGGCAGAGCCTAGGTAGGGAAAAAGGGAGCTGCCATCCATCCGTGTAGTTGTGGCGCAACTTGGAGTTTCAGGCCATGGATGTTGAGGACCTCGCAAGCTGAAAAGATGAACCGCCCTCCATCCGTTTGACTGTTGCTTTCCCCCATCCAAGCTGTGGTGTTGGGGTCTTCGTTTTGAAATTCCAGCGCCCGCGTCCTCCCATCCCTCCCAGTCCCCCCATCATCCTGCTCCCCGCTCCTCCATCTTCTCATCCGTCTCATCGCCGCGCCCATTTCGGCACATCCCTCACACACCTCGTAGCCCCATGGGAGCTCCACCGAGGGCCCCGATGGACGGGTCCGCATGGCGCGCCGCACCCGTTTAGGCACACCCCTCACACGCTTCGTTGCCCCACACAGTGGGCTCCACCGAGGCCCCAGTGGCAGGGTCCGCATTGCGCTGCTGCGCCGATTTCGGCGCATCCCTCAGCACACTTCGTTGCCCCTATAAAAGGGGCTCTATTTAGGGCCCCTGTGGCAGGGCCCGCATGGCGCCGCCCCGCTTCATGCTGGGCGCACCCCTCACACGGTTCGTTGCCCCCATCCGCGCTGCCCTCAGGCCCGCCCCTGTCGCTGCGCAGTACCCATGAAGAGATGGTCGTATTCTGCGTGGTTCGCAGCTGCATATAGTTGGGTCCTTCGCCAGGCTACTTGATTAAGATTAGTGTGCGCGCGGGACCAAGGCGAGAATTTCCTTGTGAAAACTGTTTGTGCTCCTCCTCCTCCTCCTGCCATCCACGTACCTGTCGGGTATATTCAAGCAGAGTGTTCCCAGCGCCAGGGCGAGAGCTCCATGTTGGAGAAATTGCCCGAGCTCCATCCGTATAAATGTTGGGACTTCTCGAGCTTCGAAACCGCACACTGCTAGGACGTATAAAGCGAAACGCTCCGCCCGCCCTAGCGGCACGTCCGGTGGTGCGACATAGAGGAACGAGGAGAGTAAGCAGGGAGAGGAGGAGAAGAAGGAGGAGGAGAAGGAGGAGGAAGAAGAGGAGTAGGGAGAAGGCGGGACAGCGAATATTATGATGAGGATGAAGATGAGGTCGTCGAGTCGGATGGTGATGATGCTGCTGCTGATGATCATGGTGATGATGATACGGATGATTATGATGATGCCGGTGACGCTGATGATGATAATGATGATGATGGTGATGAGGATGACGACTATG